CAGCCTCTCGTTGAAGCCATTCCACCTCCAGCAGGTGCAGCCGGCCCAAGCGCAGACCTCGGGGGAAGTCTTGCTGCAGAGCCCGCTCCAGCACTTGCTCTACGTTCAGGCGCTGATTCGCCCTCGCAGTCTGAAGGTACCCTCAATTCCCGGCACCAGCTCCCCGAGTCTACTGCTGGGAGTGCAATTGGCGCCAGTTCTTGCCACGCACTGGGGCGAGAACCATCAGGGCCACCTGCGCGTGCCGAAGATCCTGCACGATCTAGTGCACACCAACAGGGGGCTTCGTCAGGGAAACCTTCCTTTGGACGTGTTGAGGGCGATGCTGGACCCAAATATGGCCGGCCTCAGCCTTACCCGGGACGGAAGAAGTAGCCTGCCCCTCTTCCGTTCATGCGGCAATCCCGACATTGCCGTTTCCATATGTACTCAGGTATTCCGTGTTGGGTGGCTGCATACTTCGAGCAACTCTGCTACGTGTACTTCAAGTTCCTGAGGCAGAGCAACTTCTGAGGGGTGCCCTTTCTTACCACTTCGGCTACGTTCCAACGTGGGCCCATCTTAGGCCGCGATTGCTGCACCAGGCCTCTAAGCAGCCAGACTCGTTTGTTTTTCTTGTGGCTGGGCAGCCCCCAGTCCTTTCCATCGCGCAGTTGTGAATCTCGTCCTCGTGCTCCTGCTCCTGATGCTGCTCCTCTTCCTCCTCCTCTTCCTCCTCCCGCTCTTGATCGGGAGGGGGGCGTCCCTTTTTGGGCGGCTCGGGAAGGACCTTTTTCTTCGGGGGGCTTCTGGGGGGGCACCCACGGGAGCTCACGAGCCTCCCGGGCGAGCACCTTGCGCCACAAGTCGACGTGGATGACCTCCGCCTTCTTCTTGTCCCTGGAGGCGGGCATCGCTGCACAGCACGTCCTCGCAGATCCCTGCGAGCATCAGTGGAGCCAGATGGGCCTCTCCTTCTTGAGGGCGTCCCTGACGTACCACCTGTAATATTCATCAGAAGATCCGAGATGAGTGACCTCCAAAATCTCCCCCTCAAAATTTGACGGACGTTCCAAGTCAATCTTATAAAGAGAATATCCCTGACCTGTACCAGCGTCAGAGTTGTCCTTGGTGAGGATGAGCTCCCCCACCTTGCTGTCGGACTGCCGCTGCGCGGACTTCGAATCCCTTGGGTCGAGAAAGTCTGCCTCGGTGTAAATGCAGTCTTCGACGCACGCCGCCATGGCTGTAGGGTGGGCGCGCTCTCAGAGCGTAGCGCCACGGGCCCCCCACAAGGGGGCCCTACACCCGTTCGATATGTGGCGGGGGCGAAAGCGAACAGAGGGCTATGCCTGTGGTTCCCCACAGGGGCCAGCCGATCCAGCTTTGAACCCTCGGAGCTATGGCGTGCACCTGCCACTCGACAAAACACTGGTCCGCGTGCGGACCACGATCAGAGAAACATTATCCTGGCGAAGGACCCAGCGAGATGCAGTTGTGAGTAACGCAGTTGTGAATCCATTTTGGCTCAAGCGATTGCAATTGCCTAGCTACCCCCCTTGCTAGGTATAGATGAGCGCCAACGCTGCTGATGGCCCCTCCCTTGTGGCGGCGGCTGTGCAGGCGGCGATCCTGGAGGGCGCCCCGAGGCGCACTGTTGCTGCTGTGGCTGCGGCGGTTGCCGGCGCTGTGATGTCTGCGACTGCTCGGCCCTCCGCGCCAGCGACCATGCACAAGGAGCGCGCTCAGGATGCACAGGGCGAAGCTGAAGACTCCGACGATCCTGTGCAATTGTTGGAGAAACTTCGTGCTGCACGCCGTGCCCAACGACTCCGCAAGAAGGAGAAGCGCAGGACAGCCAAGCAGGTGGCTCAAGATGGTCCAGCCTCTCCTATTCTTCCTGATGGCCTTCAGCCTCTCGTTGAAGCCATTCCACCTCCAGCAGGTGCAGCCGGCCCAAGCGCAGACCTCGGGGGAAGTCTTGCTGCAGAGCCCGCTCCAGCACTTGCTCTACGTTCAGGCGCTGATTCGCCCTCGCAGTCTGAAGGTACCCTCAATTCCCGGCACCAGCTCCCCGAGTCTATTGCTGGGAGTGCAATTGGCGCCAGTTCTTGCCACACACTGGGGCGAGAACCATCAGGGCCACCTGCACGTGCCAAAGATCCTGCACGATCTAGTGCACACCAACAGGGAGCTTCGTCAGGGAAGCCTTTTCTTTTGGACGTGTTGAGGGCGATGCTGGACCCAAATATGGCCGGCCTCAGCCTTACCCGGGACGGAAGAAGTAGCCTGCCCCTCTTCCGTTCATGCGGCAGTCCCGACATTGCCGTTTCCATATGTACTCAGGTATTCCAGATGGGTGGCTGCATACTTCGAGCAACTCTGCTACGTGTACTTCAAGTTCCTGAGGCAGAGCAACTTCTGAGGGGTGCCCTTTCTTACCTCTTCGGCTACGTTCCAACGTGAGCCCATCTTAGGCCGCGATTGCTGCACCAGGCCTCTAAGCAGCCAGACTCGTTTGTTTATCTTGTGGCTGGGCAGCCCCCAGTCTTTTCCATCACGCAGTTGTGAATCTCGTCCTCGGTGGAACCCCCGATGGGGCCACGAAGAGTGTGAATGGTGTGCCGAAGTGGACATGTGGTGGGCGGGGGCCGCGTGCGAACCCTGCCACTGGGGCCTTCGGTAGAGCTCCGTATGGGGCCACGTGTCGTGTGAAGGGTGTTCCGACATGGGCATGCGGTGGGCGCGAATCCGCATGCGAACCCTGCCACTTGGGCCTTCGGTGGGGCTCCGTACGGGGCCACGGAGCGTGTGAGCGGTGTGCCGACATGGACATTCGGCGGGCGAGGAACCGCATGCGAAGCTTGCCACCAGGGCCTTCGGTAGAGCTCCGTATGGGGCCACGGAGCGTGTAAGGGGTGTGCCGCAATGGGCGTGCGGCGGGGAACCGCATGCGAACCTTGTCATTGGGGTCTTCGGTTGGGCGCCTTATGAGGCCACGGAGCGTGTGAGGGGTGTGTCGACATGGAGATGCGATGGGCGGGGAGCCGCGTGCTAATCCTGTCACAGGGGCCTTCGGTGGAGCCACATCTGGAGCCACGAAGCGTGTGAATGGTGTGCCGAAGTAGATAAGCGATGGTCTGGGAGCCGCATGCGACCCCTGCCACCGGGGCCTTCGGTAGAGCTCCGTATGGGGCCACGGAGCGTGTGAGTGGTGTGCCGACATGGACATGCGGTGGGCGGGGAACCGCATGCGGACCTTGCCACTGGGGCCTTGGGGAGCCCCCGCACGACCGCCCAAGGCGGCAGCCGCACTGAGTTCCGCAGGTGCCGTGCGCACAAAGTGCCCCTGTGGGGCTGCCGCGGCCGCGACAAGACGCAGCCAGCTCCCTCCCTCGCTAAAGTGGCCGAGAGGGGCTGCCGCGCACGAACACCACCGCTGAGAAGCACGCCTCGTCATGCATGTGCGACGCGGTGTTTCAGCGGCTTGCTGGACTTCGGTTCCAGCCCACCCTTGATGTTCTTGACTTTCCGCATGCGGGCGTGCAGAGAAGGCCCAGCCACAAGCTGGCACGTCCCCCCGAGCTGCCTGTGCTTGCAACGTTGCACCCTGGCATAGCACCAGCACCGCCTGCAGATCCTGTAGCTGTTGACCGTCTCCGGGTCGCGGTTGTCCGTGAAGCCTTCGGCGCCAATGCCCTGGAGCCAGTCAGTCGCTACTGCGGCCTCCGAGGCCTGCCAACCCTTCTCACGGCTCCACGCCCCCAAGCTAGGGCAGGGTCCGTCGCCTGACAGAGGCGTCCCGGGGGGGAGCTGACGGCCGAGCAGGCGCCAGCGGAGGAGGCGGCGGTCTCGGCCCACTGCCGCCTCCGGCCCTCCTCGCGCTCCAGCCTCTTCGCCGCCGCCTGAGCCACAGCCACCGCGCCCGCAGCAGGTAGAGCAGAGACGCCAAACTTCCTCTTGACCCCGCTGACATCAGGGTCCCCATGGGGTCACGAAACGTGTGAGGGGCGTGCCGGAATCCGAAATCGACATGCGGAGGGCAGAGGCGGGGATGGAAGGAGGAAGTGAGGGGAGGAGGAGTGAGGAGTGAGGAACGCGGGGCGCTGTCTCTTCAAAACGGAGACCCAAGTCAACAGAGGATGGTTGGGAAAAGATCAGTTCAGTGCTCTTCCGTGCCCCATACGTTACTCCCGAGAAATCTGCAGATCGCTTCAAGAGGGCCCCCAAACCCCCGAGATTGCCAAAAACGGCCCCAGGTGGTCCGAGTTTGGCCACCTTGTGGCTCAGCCTTCAAGGCCGGGCCGCTGCCACCTGCAGGTTGGGCCGTGCGAGACCACTCTGTCAAAGTGACTGGCAGGCTGCGCAATGGACTGGTCAACGCCTCCTTGAAGTCCCTCCAGTGGCCCGCCACTCTGCCGGCGGTCCCTCGCAGACCCCCCTGGCCTCAAGGGTTGAAGCGGCCCCAGAGGATCCCAAGACGATCCACGAGTGCAAAGGCGGCATAAGAGAGACCTCAGAGGCACCCGACATTTCCAAGAGAGCCTTGAGACTTTCCAGATCGCTCCAAGACGGCCGACGATAGATCTACAAGGTGTTGGTTTTGTCATCCGAGCTTGCTTTCGCCCTTGCTTGAACCACCTTGCTTGAATCACCTTGCTTGAACCACCTTGCTATTCATGGTTGGAAGCCCTGGTGATCCCGCGGTGAGTCATAGTGTACATGTAGATATTCGACATGAGATGTACATGGGGGAATGCTTCTGATGCCTATGCTACGTTAGGACCAAGCCGAACGCCAATACATGTTTACAAATCGCGCCAAAAAACATCGGCCACTCGGGACATCACTCTGATATCCCCCGCCCGGGAACTCTGTGTGCTAGTGATAAACCACGGGGGTTGAAACTTCATTGCTTCCAACGGTTGTCCTCGAAGCGCAGGAGGAGGTAGACCCGAATTACCTTCTGATCCTTCTCCTCCTCATATTCCTCAGCCTCAAGCTCATCCGCATCATTTTCTTCATTTCTTGTCCCTCTCGTCTTCCTGCTCTACGTCCTCCTTCTCCTGCTTCTCTCCTGCTTCCTCTTTCTCCTTGCTCTTCCAATTTCTCCTGATCCTCACGCTCCACTTCCCCCCCTCTACCCCGTGTCTCTCCTCTCCCTTCCACCCCCATTCCCCCCTCTTCTGCTGGAACCCTCTTGAACCCTTCGGAACCTCTTCCGAAGCCATCTGAGGCGCTCCGAACAGCCTCAAACGTACCGAAAACCACCGGACACAAGACAGCCATGGAAAACCCTTCGACGCCCTCCTCCGCCACCCTCTCCTTCCTGCCGCGTCCCCTACGCTCGACGTGCACGATCAGAAACGCTTGTATGCACAGATCCAGGAGCGCATCCTTTCTCGATTTTGGGCTCAACACACTGCCCCGGGGCTCAGCGGCCACATCGGGAGGTAAGACACCACCGTGGGGAAGCCGCTGGCAGGCCAGCTTCTTATCTGGCGCGCTTGCTGTAGCCTCCTGCGCCTCCCACCTGGCCACCGTCGCAGGCGCTCGCTGCCCACCGCCGTCGCCGTCGCCGCTCCTCGGCACCACCGCGGTTGCCTGGCTCTGGCTCTCGCTGCCCTCGCCGTCGTCGTAGGCGCTCTCGTCCTCAGCGTCGCCGCCCTCGGCGTCGCCCTGCGCGGCGGTGGCCGTGTTGCGCACGGGCACGTCGTCGTCGTCGTCGTCGTCGTCGTCGTCGCCGTTGCCACTTCGTCGTCCTGCTTCTGCGGCCGCTCTTGCTGCCTCTACCTCTGAAACCACCACTTTCCTTCTCTTCCTCCTCCGCGTCCCTCGCTGCCTTCCTCCAACGCTCTCTTCCCCCCTTGCAAACCCAACGTTGGCGTGTGTGTGTGTGTGTGTGTGTGTGTGCGTGTGCGTGTGCGTGTGCGTGTGCGTGTGCGCGCGCGCGTGTGTGTGTGTGTGTGTGTGTGTGTGTGTGTGTGTGTGTGTCGCGCGCCGCCTGATCGCTGCATACCACACTGGAGCCAGATGGCGATGGGTAACCCGACGTCCCCAAGCGAATTCGTGCTGCACATTCTAAGCCACTACTTTCGAATCCAAAGGGTCGCCGAACATGACGGAGGTATGCTGGCTGACAGCGCAGACTAATCAAAGCAATGAACCAGAGCTAGGCGCTCCATTGCCAAGCTGGCAAGTGGAATGTGCATTGTAGCACATAACTAAGCAGGCGCATCAAGCAGGTTGTGGCACCTCCTATCTGCAGGGCAGATGGTATAGCGTGTCGAACTAGCCCTGCGACAACCTGGCCAGTCAGAGGGTTGCGGGCATTCCTTGCGAACTTTCTCGTTTGATCTCGCCCTGCCCCATCAACGTCAATCCGAAATCGTAGCCGTGACGGTTTGCCAGGGAAAAAGAAGCAACTGCCGTGCGTAACCGTGTTGTTCAAGCACTGCTCCTGCCACGGTTAACAACAGGCTTTCATAGCACATCTTGGTGGGGGCCAACGAGTGTTTGGCCAAATCCTTCACTGCAAGTCGTATGCGAGATATGTATTGGGACAAGTAGCTGGCCTTTGCAACAAGCGCGTAGTCTCTGTCGGCGCCATGTTCTGGACCATGGCCCCGCATGTACATTGGAGGGGGCAGATGAGCACGTGCATGAACAGGAGGAAAAGGAGGAACATAACAGCAGAAGGGAAGGCAAGAAGTGAAGGAGGACCAGACCAGGGGAAAGCGGATGAGGGCAAGGGAAGGGGACGGCAACGACGAGGAAGGAAACATATCTAGAAGTGTGGCCCTGCTTGTGTGAGAGCTCCAACCCGAAAGACGGGGCAAAGCGCCAATCCTGAAACGTGGCCAGGGCTGTAGCGAGAGCACATGGTATTGAATGACCGAGGGTGTTTCGATTGAAAAAATTCATGCTCATAAGGAAAGCCAGAAGTCTGGACTCCGATGTGTAAAACAAAACATATGCGGGAGAGGCTGCGCCAAACCAACACTTTGTCAGGGGAGAGGGGAGATTCGTTCTCATATTGTGTAGCTGTGGAGAGCAGCGCCGCATTCGCTATCAAGGTTCACGAAGGAAGGGGATATGACGGAGCGGGGAATGGATGGGGCGGGACGAAGGGACACAAAAGAAAGGGAAGCGACAAGGAACTGGGGGAGGGACCGGTGGGCGGACGGGAAAATGGAGGAACGGAGCGGGAGGTGTGGAGCGCACGGGACATGTTGATTCGAAGGGGCCGAGGGAACACGAGACAAAAAAACAGGGATGAACAGGCAACGCGAACACATCGGTGAGAAGATGAAGGGGGAAATAAAATAGAGGGGAAGATAATGATAAGGATGCGGGTAAACGGAAGGGGCTAAGGAGTGAGGGAATGAAACGAGAGCTGGGAGGCAGGAGGAAGCGAATGAGCAATGGGAGACAAGGCGATGAGAAAGGACTGGTGGGGTGGGGTTGGTTGGTGGGCAGGCGAGGAGTTTGAATAGGAGTGCAATGGAAATGAGGCGGGTAATTAGGAAGGGAAGGGAGGAGAAAAGAGATGAGGGAGACATCTGATGATGAGGGCCAAAGGGAAGGAGGGGAAGCGGTAGAGGAGAAGCATCGTTGCTCCTCCTCGGCCTCCTGCTTTGTATCTTCTTGCGTGCTGCTGATCTCCCCCTGCTCGTCGGCATTCTCCCCCTCCCTGTTCTTCCTCCTCATTCGCCTCCTCCTTTCTGTTCTGTTCACTCGTTCTTCTCCTTCCACCGTCCCCTCCCCCGAACGATGACCTCCTCCCAGAGGGACTTCTGAGAAGAAGAGGGAGGAGGACGAGGAGGATCCGATGGAGAAGGAGGATGCGGAGGACAGGGAGAAGGAGCATGCGCAGACAAAGAGGAGACGGAGGAGGAGGAGGAGGAGGAGGAGGAGGAGGAGGAGGAGGAGGAGGGGAAGGAGGAGAGGAAGGAGGAGAGGAGAGGAGAGGAGAGGAGAGGAGAGGAGAGGAGAGGAGAGAAGAAGGAGGAGGAGGAGGAGGAGGAGGAGGAGGAGGAGGAGGAGGGAGGAGGAGGAGGAGGAGGAGGAGGAGGAGGTCGGCATGTCTCATGGGCGCGCGCGCTGCTCGTGACTGCCGCGAAGAATTCGAAGCCTACATGCTGCAGCCCAACCCGCGTGGCCAACCCTGCTCGTGTCGGCAGCGGCGACGGCGGCGCAGATGTCGTCGAGGGGGGGGGCGTGTCCTCGCCGTCCGCGTCAGCGGGCTCCACGCTGGGCGCCCTGGGGGTCAGGGGCTCGCCCTCGAAGTCGGGCTCCAACGGCTTCACGTCCTCCTCCCAGGAGGGACGTCGTCATCGTCGACGCTGCCGTGCTGGTTCTGTTTGTCGTTGTCATCGTCTGCGTCGCCTTGTGAAGGGGAACGGGCGGGGGGGAAAGGAAGAGGGGCAAGAGCCAGGAGAAGGATGTGGATACAGAGGAAGGAGGTGGGAACAAGGGGAGTTGGAGGACGAGACACTCCTCCTCATCATCATGTTTGTTTTGTTGTTCTCTCTTCATACTTCTCTCTCTCCTCTCTCTCTCTATATATATATATATATATGTATGCATGTCCCTCCCTCTCCCTCTTCCTCATTTTCGGATCCTCCTCCTCCTCCTCCTTTTCCATCCTCCTCCGGCCCTTCGTTCTCCGCACCCCCTCACCCCATTCTTATCGTCTTGGTCGCTCTCCATCACTTCCGCCGCCTCCTCCTCAGGCTTCCCCTTTACCTACATAATCAAAAGCATGGGTATCCTCCCCCCGATTCCCACGCCGGATCCCAGACAGACAGACAGACAGAGCCCGCGCCGAGGCACCTACGAGGGGTGCGGCGGGTGGGCGCCGGGGCGCCGATAAGGGTTGGCCGCTCAGAAACAGCCGGAGTCGGAGCGGTAAGAGCGGGAGTCGGAAAGAGTCGGAGACGGTAACGGAGCTGGAGTCGGAAAGAGCCGGGAAGATGACAATGGCTAGGGGGCTGGAGTCGAAGAGGTGCGAGCCGGAGTCGGAACAAAAGAGGGGCTGGAGTCGGAGAGGTGCCACCGAAAGTGCGACCCCATTACAGTCCGATATTCCTATTACACGTCCTATATTCCTATTACACGTTCGTCCTCTTCCTCTTCTCCTCCTCCTCCTCCTGTTTTCCTTCCCCTCAGCAACCTCATCATTATTATGATCTCTCAATCTCTTCTCATAATCCTGCTGGTTTGATTGACCTCCTGCCCCTCGTAATCATCCTGCTCGTCCTTCCCCTTCCGCCTCCTCCTTTTCCTCCTTCTCGTCGTCGTCGTCGTCCTCCTCCTCCCCACTGTCCGTAACGTCCTACTTATTCCTTTGGTCCGTTTCTCATTCCTCCTCCTGATTATCATGCTCTGCTGCTCTCACGTCCAACTCCTGCTGCCGGCCTCATCCTGCTCGCCCCCTTGGTCCGCCATCGTTGTTCCTTTTCGGCGTATCCCTCCTCCTTCCCTCTCTTCCTCGTGCTCATCAATTTCCTTTCCTTTGCACTACTTCCTCCCCCCCGGCTCCTCCTCCTCCTCCTCCTGTTCCCCACGCTGCTGATCCTCTTACAACTCATTCTCCCTCCCTCGTCCTCACCCTGCTCCTTCCCACTTCCTCCTCCTTCTCTTCCTCCGCTTCCTTGACCTCTTGCTCTTGCTCCCCCCCTCTTCCTCCTCCCTCCGTTTCGTCCTCCTCCTTCTCCATCCCTCCTTCCCTCCTCCTCCTGTCTGCATTTCCTCCTCCTCCTCCTCCTCCTGATCATCCTTCATTTCCCCTCTACCCATTATCTGTCGCCGCTCCCCTATCTCACACCTGCCTACTATATGCTTGTCTCCCTCTATCGCTGTCGTCCTCTATCGTTGTATGCTTTTCTGCCTTTGTCACTGCCATCCCTCTCCTCTCTCATCCCCCGCCCCCCGCCCAGCCGCCCGTCCATGTCGTCGAAGGCCGCCTCGAGGTGGTGCCGCGGGCCGCAGAACACCGCGCGGTTCAGGACGCTCAGGCTGCACCCCGGCGCCACGAGTCCCATGTCGCACACGAGCGCCCACATCTGACGGGCCTGTGGCGACTGAGGGGGCTCGTGCCTCCTCTTCCTCCTGCTCTCCCTCCTCCTGCCTCCCCTCTCTGCCTGCCCCTCCTACCACACGTCGTCCCTCGCCCTCGAGGGTCGAGGGGGGGGGGAAAACAACTTACCAGTGGCAAAAGAAGCGATCGCGCCTGCTCTTCCTCCTGTCTTCCCAGTCGTCCTCCTGCCTCTTCATCTGCCTGCCCCTCCCCCCGCCCCCTCGTGTACGAAGATCACCAAATTCAACAAATACACCAAGCAAATCTGTGACATATCGCACTGGAGAGGCACGCGCAAATCATTTAAACATCAGTCGCAGAAAATCCCTAGTGTGGATCGCCTGTTGAAGCAACACTTCCTTAGAACAGTCTGTTGGTATGGGGGCGGAAAGTTGGAGGGAAAGCGGAGGACCAGTGGGAGAAACAAAGCGAGGATAACTGCGCCACAACAGACACAACCCATTTTGCCGCGTGCAACATGTACACGCCGTGTGCTGGCGGCGGGCGACACATGATGCCGAACTTCCGTTGTCCTCTTTGATCGCTACACTGTACTCCGCAGTCGTACACCCTACTCCTTTATTTAAAAACTATACCTATGTAATGTTGACATCTTTGATCGCTACACTGTACTCCACCGTCGTACACTCTACCCCGTTCTCTAAATACTATACCGTGTAGTCTGCTGTTTGGTTCGCACCATTTTCATTGCATGGCGTATTTGTGAACATATGTAGTATATGTGTATCTATATATATATATATATATATATAGATGTGCGTTCTGAGTCCACGCGAGCGCTTCGCGCGAGCTCAGGTTCTAGCGCAAACCTATGCGCTGACACGAGATACGCGAAGACTGCCCCGCCGTGTCTTGAAATTGGCGCCCGCGTGCGCTGGCTTCGTGGCTCCCCAACGCCAAAATGGGACACAAGAATTCACCTCCTGCGCCTAACCGGCATTGGTCACTTGCGTGGTGCTATTGGTGATCTTTCTCTTCCTCCTCCTGCTCCTCCTGCTCCTCCTACTCCTCCTCCTCCCGCTCCTCCTCCTCAACAGTTGCACACCATGAAACGACTCTCCTCTCCCACGAAGACGCTAATGAGGTGTCTTGGCCTCCTCCGCGTATTGTACACACAGGATGCCGCCGACATGAGAATTAGCATGTGTTGTTCAATCCCGGTAGTTTTCAGTCCTTTCAGAATGGCGCTCCTGTTACAGGGTTGGCTCCATATCTCAGTTTTCAGTCCTTCCAAGTCATGTGCCCGCTGCAGCGCTGACGTCAATGCGCGGTTTCGGTTCTTCCAAATCGTGCTCCTGCTGCAGCTTTGGCGTCGTGACCCCATAGAGAGCTCCACCGAAGGCCCCGGTGGCTGCGACCACATGCGTCACCGCCACCCATTTCGGCACACCCCTCAGAAGTTTCGATGCCCCATAGGGAGCTCCACCGAAGGCCCCAATTGCTGCGTTCACATGCGTCCCGCGCCCATGTCGGCACACCCATCACACGGTTCGTGGCCCCATATGGAGCTCCACCATCGCGCCTCGTTCTTGCTGCGCCTCTTTCTGGTTGCGGCGCGCTGCCTGTGCAAGCAGAAGGTTATACCGCGTGCGCTACTCGGAGTTTGCGCGCCCCCCTCCTTCGTCCCATCTTCGTCGCGGTACTTGCAACTGTAGATTGTTGGGTCCTTCGTCATGCCATTTGTTTGACCGGGACGGCGGGGGTGTCCTCATATTGCCTGCTTTGCGCAAAGCCACCATCCCTATCATACATAAATACAGCATGCACTTTGTGGCTAAAACTGGATTATGCGCGGACGCCCCACGATCACTGTTCATTTGTGTTTGACAAGGACTGGGGGGGCAGATTGCCTGCTGATTGATAGCGCACCAGACACCATGATGGACTCCCCGCCCCGATCACGCTCTGGTTCTCGACAAGGATAATGGGGGCCGACATGTTTCAGTGTGCTGTCATGTGCGCGGGCGCACTTGGCACATTCTGCTCGTGCCCCAAACGTGGCGCACCTGGCGCGGCTGGACCATGCGGCACACATGGCGCACGTGGAGCACGTGGCGCATCTAGCGCGCGAGGCGTGCCTGGTACGCTTGAGCCCCAGGGGTGCCTGGCGCACCTGGGACGCCTGGCACGCGTGGCGTACCTCGCCCCGTCGCGCACATGGGGTCCGTTTTGTTCCCCAGTAGCTGCCCATCCATCGACGGCCGCTGAACATGCTGACGCCCAGGAACTATTCGTGTGTTGGGAGGGCGGGTGGGAGTGAGCGAGACAGCTTGCGGGCGGGGAGGGTGTCTCGACCCCTCCCCCTTCCCCCCTCCCCCTGTGTCTGGATGGGGCGCCCCGCGACCTATTGGAGAGTCCAAGGTAGCCCAAGATGGCTCCAAGAGGACCCCAGCTAGCCCAAGATGGCCTCCAACGGCTCAAGGAAGCGCGAGATCGCTCAGGGTGGCTTCCAGTGTACTTCAAGAGGTCCCAAGACCGCTCCAAGACGGGTCCAAGGGGCCTTGCCTTTTAACAGCGAAGGTGTGTGTGTGTGTGTGTGTGTGTGTGTGTGTGATTTTGGCCTTCTCGTCCGCTCCCTTCCGAAGGCCTTCTGGTACTAACCAGAAGGCCCAAACGGGCCCCAAGACGGCCCCAAGAGCGCCCACGAGCGCTCCAAGAGCGGCCCAAGCAAGCTCCAAGAGATGGTTCTAGGGGCTCTCGAGGGCCAGTGCTAATTGAGGCCCACGTCTTCTTTTCTCGATGTCCTCCAAGGTGGTTCCACGAAGGCTCCAAGGCTGCCAAGAGGGCCCCCCAAAGGCCCCAATCTACTCCTAAGACTTCAGAGGCCCCTTAGAAGCCCCCACATCGCCCGCAGACACCCCCAAAAAAACCCTTGAGACCCGCAACACGTCCCAAGAGGCCACCAAGAGGCCCCCAAGAGACATTCCAAGCCGCTCCGAGAAACATCCAATCTGTATCTAATTCTCTGAGGCTCCCCGAAGTATCCAAATGATGCAACGCTCTCCCGACACGGGCAACTCCCTATAGGCATCGTAATGTTCTTGGGGGCCTCTCAAAGGCCCGCTACGGGCCCCCTGGGCCTGTATTTGGAACTGTTTTGGCCATTTCAAGCCGTGCTGGAAGCGTTCTAGCTATCCGTGGGCCCTCTGAGGGGCCTCTCGTCGATGCTCCGGGGAAAGGCCTGACGCCTCAGGGGAAACTTACCCACATTGGGGGTTCCAGGCAATGGTTTTCGGGGGCCATTTCCTCTCCTGGGTCGATGCATGTATGTCGAATCCAGAATCCGCCGGCCCCCTTGTGGGGCCACCAGGCTGTAGGAGCGAGGTTCGCAGCTTCCTGTGCCAGTTGTAGCTTGTAGTTTCCAGTGTTGCAGTTCTGCTTCTTGCTGGTTACTGTAACTAGTTGACTTATTGCTGGTTACTGTAACTAATTGATTGACCGCGCGAGGGGGGGGAGGCCCAAAGTGGCATTTTAGCGTCTCCTGGGCGCGTTGTCTGAATTGCTGGGGGGGCTCGAAATCGACACCCCTCACGCAGATCCGCGGGGTCAGGGTGCAAAAACAGAGGGGATTTGTCACATTTCTGAAATTCGGTGCCACCCCTCACGCAGATCCGCGGGGTCAGGGTCCAAAAACACATGGGATTTGCAAAATTTTTGAAATTCGGCGCCACCCCTCATGCAGATCCGCGGGGTCAGGGTCCAAAAACACATGGGATTTGCCACATTTCTGAAATTCGGTGCCACCCCTCACGCAGATCCGCGAGGTCAGGGTCTAAAAAACATATGTGATTTGCCACATTTCTGAATTTCGGTGCCACCCCTCACGCAGATCCGCGAGGTCAGGGTCCAAAAACACAGGGGACTTGCCACATTTCTGAAATTCGGTCCCACCCCTCACGCAGATCCGCGGGGTCAAGGTCCAAAAACACAGGGGATTTGCTACATTTCTGAAATTCGGTGCCCCCTCAAGCAGATCCGCGGGGTCAGGGTCCAAAAACACAGGGATTTGCTACATTTCTGAATTTCGGTGCCACCCCTTACGCAGATCGGCGGGGTCAGGGTCCAAAAACACAGGGGATTTGCCACATTTCTGAAATTTGGTGCCACCCTTCACGCACATCCATCGGAAGGCGTGGTAACCCAAATTGCGAGAACTCCCTCGGCCCTTTAATCGCAAGGTGTGGTAACCAAGCCCGTAAACCATACACGTCTTACCAATCGCCAGGTGTGGTAACCCCTCTTGTGATCAGTTGGTTTTGCTGATTGCGAATCGGCTTCGCATGAAGTTTCGATACTGCTTCACGACAGCGCCAAGGCCTCATGACTTAGCTCTTCCATGGCCCATTCTCCGAGAGAGGGGGCCGGCGGCAGGGGGCGAAGCCCTTACGGATTACGAATGTGCCGCTCCTGCGGGTGTCTTATGGCCGCTGCTGGGCCTTCTTGGGGGCCTGTTGGGCCATCTTGGAGTGCCCATCGAGCCGGCTTGGACTCCTCTAGGCTGTCGTGGGGTCCCTTGGGGCTGTGTTGGGGCGATCTGGAGGCCCTCTTCTCTAAGCTGTCTGGAGCCCTTCTGGGGGCCCTCTTTGGCTGTCTTGGGATTTCTCGGGCCGTCTTGAATCTCTCTTGGGGCTCCCTTGAGCGCCTTTTGGGCTATCTTGGGGTGCTACTGGGGGCCTCTTGGGGCGTCTTGGAGACTCTGAAGACCGAGACTGCAACACCGTGCAAGACCTTTGGGGGATATCCAAGTTTCGTGCCTCTTGACGGCCTCTCGGCTTTCTCTTCGGGCCCCTTGCTTGGGAACCTGTTGCTGTTTCCATATTGGAACCATCATGGGCCGTCGTTGGCCTGCCTTGGACATCCTTCAAATCCCTTCGGAACCTGTGGATCTGTTTCTTGCGCACCACAGCTTTGTTCCGCTAATGGGCATATTGACCTTGAAGGCAATGTTTGCTGACGGGCTGGCTGACCAGCAAG